TAGTTTGAAGCTAACCAGAGACCTCCAGAGCAAGAGGGAGACAGACATCTCCTTATATTCCTTTTTTTCTAGGCTAAATTTGAAACTTATCTTATTCCAAAGCTGGAAGTGAAGTAATCATAGCCTGGATCTGATCCTGGAGACCTTCCTGAGCCCTTAAGGAGAGGAGGAGATGGTAAACAATCAATCAGTCAGGAATTAGGCTTTGTGGTGGATTCCTGTCCTCTGAGCCAGCTTGCAGTTAGAATTTATGACTGTGGACAGTCCCCAGGAATTTGTCATATATTCACTCCATTGAATGAAGGCTCAGTGCGTGTGCAAAGTGAATGAATACATAAACAAACAGATGTTTCTTTTGGAGTCGGCAGTGTAGACTGTTGAACTGACTGGGGTATCCTAGTGGGAGTCAGGGCGCTGGGACTCTGTTGGTGTTTCCTCACCAGCCGGGCCTTGTGCGTTAGTGTGCCATATATGGGCGTGAAAATATGGCTGATACACTTTCTGGGTTGTGTTTATTGTTGGAGGCAGAATGTTTTTCAAAACTGCAGACCGTAACCACTAGTGGGTTCGAAATTAACTTAGTGTGTCAGAACCAGCATAAAGAGAGAAATAGGATTAACACTCTCAGAGTTAGCAAAGGTAGACATTTTTGGCAAAACTTTTGGGGTTTCAGTTATTTACATGTATGCATTTTATACATATGTGTTTGTTTACTGGATTGTCATGCATAAACCATTTTTGAGTTCAATAAAGTTTGCAAGACACTGTAGTAAGTTTTACAGGCAAGTAAAAGAGCAAATAAATGTCAAATTCATCTTTATTGGACATTACCGTTAACTTCCTTTGCTGATAAACAGTAGAGAGTGACTTAAGCAGAAGAGGAATTTATTAGAAGGAAGTGGGGCAGCTCACAGAATTTGAGGGAAAGCTTAAAAAGTCCTAACCAAGGGAGTCCTGGATCTGGGTAGGTGGAAGAACTAATGGAGGCATTCTACTTCCTGGTAAATTGGTTCCAGCTGTTTTAGGTCATTTTGCTATTCTGCTCAAGATTTGGGGGAGAGGGTGCCATTGTCCTCTTGCTTCTTCATGGACAGAGAAGGGCAGGCTCCCTTGATTGACAGGCCCGTCAGATTCCCAGTGAAGGAAGGGGATTCTCCAAGACAAGACCCAGGTGTTATTACTTAACACTGGAGGGGAATGGAAGCTGTGTGACAGAACAGATGCCTATGATAGTAGCTTTTTGGTCTTGTTGATCTCTGGTTCCCTCCCCTCCATTTCCCTCCCTTTTCTTTCGACCTCTTCCTAAATCACTTCTTTTTGAGCAGGAGTCTCTTGCACAGGCTGGTGTGCAGTGGCACGCTCATGACCACCGCAGCCTTGACCTGCTGGGCTCAGGTGATCTTTCCGCCTCAGCTTTCCAAGTAGCTGGAACTACAGGCATGCGCCACCACGCCCGGCTAATTTTTTTATTTATTGTAGGAATGGGAGCTCGCCAAGTTGGCCAGGCTGGTCTTGAACCCCTGGGCTCAGGCAATCCTCTTGCCTCTGACTCCCAAAGTGCTGAGATTACAGGCGCCCGGCTCCTAAATTACTTTTTATCATAGGAATATGTGTGCCTGATTTTTAAAAGATCTAATAATATCAAAAGGCTTTAAAAAGAAAACAACAGTCACCTACTCCAAGTTCCACTCCATGGAAGTAACCACTTTCAACTTTTTGAGCTCTGTTGGTCTGGTGTTTACCTCCATGTTTCTAAATAATATGCTTATATGTAGTGATATTTCTTGATTTATTGGTTTTAGACACCTATTGACTTCCTGTTATGGGAATTACAGGAAAAATTTATACTGCCACCCCTTACATGCTCTCTTCTCTTTCTCTCAATGTAATTGTATTACAATTTTTGGCTGAACTATGATTTCTGTTAGTAGCATTGTGGTTAAAGAGCATGGCTCTAGGACTCTGATTAAGGTGGGCTCTAGTCAGGGCTTTGATGTGTAATTCGCCCAAGATCACTTTGGAAAATTACTTAATTTCTTCATTTTCAGTTTTATTATCTGTAAAACAGGGACAATAATTGTACCCTTCTGATAAGTTGTGAGGATTACATTACATAATAGATATGACACATGAAGCACGTTGCCTAACACATAAGTACTCACATGTTAGCTATTATTTCCTGTTTTGCTACTGGCTTGGACTAGACTGTTTTCACCTGTTCTGAGCACCCGGCTAAGGGATGGAAGAAGAGTCTGGGAACTGTCTGGTTTGGTCAAGGTTTGCTCCTTCTCATTATGCTGACTTGTGTTTATAATTACTTGCTCCTTTCCCATTTCCTTGATGATCCAAGTCCCTCTGCCAGTGGGGGGTCCCAAGAGTGAGAGGGGGCCTATAGAGAGACCCAGGACGAAGACCTGAGTAGCCTTTACGATCCTAACTCAGCCAGGACTAGTCTTAGACAGGGTGGTGATCAGGGTTCTTATTTTGGCCTCTCTCTCTGGACCCCTTTCTGCTTCCTGACCTTACAGTCAAGGCAGCTTGTGTCTTTTGCTGCTCTGGATGCTTTGATAAAGTGGCACTTTTTAAGCTATCTATCAGTGTTACCCTTCCTTAGAATATTTGCAATTTTTTTCATTCATTCTCATTTTCTCTCTCTCTCTCTTTTTGTTTTGGATTTATCTTGACCAGAGAAGTTCTCTCAAAACCTGGTGCGTTTGGAATCTTTTCGTCAGCTACAGTCTGAACCCTTGTCTTTACTGTGGAACAGATGACCGTTTCTTAGGACTTCAGAGGCTAAATTAGTTTAATGCCAAGTGTTTCTTTTTTTTTTTTGAGTTGGAGTCTCACTCTGTCACTCAGACTGGAGTTCAGTGGCCGCTCCCGGCCACTGCAGCCTCGCCTGCTGGGCGCCGACGATCCTGCCGCCTCAGCCTTCCAAGTAGCTGGAACTACAGGCGCGCGCTACCACACTTGGCTAATTTTTTGATTTACTGTAGAGATGAGGTCTTGCCAAGTTGCCCAGGCGGGTCTCGAACCCGCGGGCTCAAGCAGTCCGCTCACCTCAGCCTCCCAAAGCGCTGGGATTATAGGCTGACCCACCGAGCCCGGCTTTTTTTTTTTTTTTCAAACTAGAACTGTGATTTGTTGAAGGCTTACCATGA